TAAGAGATGGCTGGCTGAGAGGATAATGGCTCCCTGAGCAGCTGTAGAGTTGGGAGTCCTGAGGCATCTTGGTTGTGGGGGGAATGTGGGCTGCCTGCATGATTTGCTGGGTTTCATCACCAAATCTCTTAGAGAGAGGAAGAAGTTAATTACTGTAAGTGAAAAGATGGTGGAAGGTAGATGATTTTAAGGAATCCAAATCGAAAAAAATCTGAAGAATTCAGGCTGAATCTGTTGATTTGTTTAGATTCCAAGTTATATCTTAAGTTATAGACATCAGCGTTTCTCTTTTGGACTGAAAATCTTAGAGAACAATATTTTGATCAGATAAACAATGCTGAATCTATTCAAACACCAGGGCAAGTGCCTGTAGAGGAGGAGTAAGACACACATCACATGAATGTCTTACAGGATTCAGCTGTAGAATATGAGGGTGGGAAAGCTTTTGCAGAAGTTTCGCATCATGAGACAAGACATCCTTCAAAAAAAAAAAATTAGCTTTTGAACCACTGGCTTTTCCAAAACTGTCTCTGTTTTATAACTCTCCCAGTAATCTCAAAGGGTGTCTATAGTTTTGTGCAAAGAATATAAAATGATGCTCCATCCTCTCTCCTGAATTGAGTCCCTTGGGGCTGTATAGGCCTGAATAGGAGTACTGTGGTTTCTTTGAAGAATGATAGTACTGTGTCTTTTGATTTATTGTGTAGTTCTTAATGAGTAATACATAAATGTTTTTCCTGTAAAAAAAAAGTAAACTTTCTGGATTAAAAAACAGTCTTCTTTTTCCAACATTTTAAATTATAGGTCTCTCTCCCCCATCTCCCTCATCAAAAATCCATATGGGGACTGAGGTTGTAGCTCAGTGGTAGAGTGTTTGCCTAGCCTATGTGAGGCACTGGTGCTGATTCTCAGCACCACATAAAAATAAATAAATAAAATAAAGGTATTGTGTCCATCTACAACTGAAAGAAATGTTTAAAAAATTCATATGGAATTGTTACTACTAATTTACATGCATAAAAACATACCTATGGAAAAAGACATAGAGACATTGTGAGCACTGGGGTACATGTTTTTAATATGAGACCTCATTCTACTCTCAGTGCTTTAGAACTTGCTCCAGCCTAGTAGTAACATGACCCTTGGGGACAGGTCTATATGAAGACCTAGAGACCCAAGTCATATTTTAAACTGCTGTCCACATCCCATACAATGGTTGTATTACAGTTTATTTGTTAATATCCCTATTGATAGGTAGTTATATTGTTTTTAATGTTCCACTTATAAATAATACTGTATTCATTTCTTCCTGGCCCTGAATGAGCTTTTTTTTTTTATATTAGTCCTTTTGTATTTTTAATCCCTTATAATTGGAAAATGTTCTTTAAATGCCGGGGACTTATGAAATGTAATAGCTAATTTTATGCAATGACCAACAGTATCCCTTAAAATTGCCCAAGTTATTTCCTTTGGTGAATTCTAAAGGTCAACTAGTACTTGTGATTTAACCAGGTATAGGACTATTTGCAGCTTTTGAGACCATGTCCTTAACTTTTAAAAAAATGTCTTCATTAGTGCATTATAGTTACACATAGTTGTGGGGTTCATTTTGAAATATTCAAACATGTTATAGAATATTATTTGCTCCATTTCAGTCCCCAGAACTTCCACACTCCTTACCCTCCTCCCTCTCCCATGTCCTTAACTTTTGATGTGGGTTTTCTTTATTCTTCTGCTTGCCCATCCTCAGAATCACCGTGACCTAGCTGGAGCAGGCAATGAGAAACTCAGTCCCTGCTCCCATTCCTGTTGCCTATCAGAGTTTGGTTCAGTATCTTGGGAGGATGACTTCCTTTGGGATGATGAATTGGTATATCTTTATTTTTTTAAGACCTGTTATTACAAACAATCATATATGGCCCCATAACCTGGAAAAATCCCTTAAGAGTAATAAGACCTAAAGTTTCTTTCACATTTGAGTGATTCATACCAAAGTATTTTTTAACAGCCCAAGAAGGAGTTATGTTAAGGGTCTTGTTGATAGGATTATTTCTGTGGCAAGGTAAGATGACCCTGATATCAGGTCCAAAAAAACAAAACGCCTTTATTTTTCTTTAGGTCTTTCACAAAAGAGTAGGCACAGAATGTCCAGGGGCAACTACTGTTGGGATCTGAAGAATGACAAAACAAAAACAAAAACAAACAAACCCACAAAAACCCTCAAAACAACAACAACAACAAAACCCTCTTTGTATAGTATTAATCTTGCAAAAGGAATCGTTTGTGTCCCTAAGTTAAGCTGCCCTGGACGTTCTGGATGACAGGCCAAGAATTAAAGAATTCTTGACTCTATCTTCCAACAAATCTGCACAATACCTTCCTGATATCCTTTTGGCCTTCTTGAAAAGCAGACTGTTGTGTTAGATTCTCTAACAGTCTGACCCAGGAGGATAGGCCAGGCTGCAGGTTCGTGAGGGTAGGTGACTTATCTTCTTGTGGCCCAAACACCTCCCCAGTCTGCCTTCACATTCATCTGTTCCTCACTGAATTATGCTGCCTTCCAAATGAGGTCGTATGTTCAGACAGAAGTATATATTTCCATGTGCACAGAAGGGATCCTTCGGGAACGTTGAGGCGTGCTGGGAAACTGCACACTCTCACTGTTGCTGTCTGACCACCGTAGGGCTGTAAGGTCTCAGAACTCACGCAGACGCTCGCAGGTACTGTACAACACCGTGCTTGGGCTTCACCCTCTTCTTGGTCTGTGAAGTGAGGAAGGCCTCAGATGCCTTCGTCCGGGTGAGGCTAAGAAGAACTTGCATTTGCTACCTCTGTGTGACCAAGGCTGTTTTGTGTGTCTGTTCCCTATGGGAGTTGAGTTCCTCACCTGCACTATTCTCAGATATACTACCCTTATTTCGATGTGTTTTTCCAATTCCGTGTTCCCCTTGTGTGCTTGATCCTCAAAATCATCTGAAATGCTGTGATTTTATGATCAGACAAGTTTAAGAAACTTGTTGTAAGATCTTGGCCTGATCTGATAGACCTATCTCTTAGAGTCAAAAATCAAGGTCCACAGCGTGTCCTTGCGAGCACGTGGCATCCTGCAGCTGCTCTTGACAGTGAATGGCTAGAAGTGCTAAGTTAGGAGGTACGTGTTAACTTCCTAGGGTTCACTTCCAAACTCTGCGGAGGGTTAGTAAGTGCTGTGAGGTATGATAACGTGTGCACTCTGTTCCAACAAAGATGGGGTGCAGACATCCTGCCAACCTTGTGCTGGGTGCTGGGCTGTACAGCTGGGGACGAGGCAGTGGATACTGGGCTAACTGCTTCACATACCTTTTCTCATTTAAACTTCACACCTGTCCTTTGAGGTAGGTATTACCACTTCATATTAAAATTAAGAGACTGATGTTTCAAAAAGTTCAACTGACTTGGCCAAGGTCACAGAGGTAGTAATGAGGAATTTTGGGACCCTACGAAGTCTATCAGACTCAAGCTTCCCCCCGTTCATCTGCTGTACCCTTCTATACACTCCTCATGTTCCTCTTTTCTGCTTCCAAAAGCAGTTCTCAGCCCTGGCTACATGGTAGAATTGCCTGGGGAGCTTTTAAAAAATATGCTTGCTTGGGCTTCATCCCAAACAGATATTTATTAAGAACATTTGATGTGGCCCAGGTATGAATAGTTTTTACAAAGCTTTTGGGGTGAGACTAATATGTAAACATGGTTGAGAATCTTTGAGCGCATCATTAATTGACACCAAATAGACACTTCTTCTGCCGGCCTAGTGGTTTCCAACATTTTTCTTGGATGATGTGGCTGATTAAACTTTTAAAGACTTCAGATCCTTTTTCTATCCTTTTATACAAACCAAAATTTATTGAAATATATCACATACTTTCATAACGCAAAAGAGACAAGGACATGATAAAAGACCCATTGAACCAGGGTTTAGAAACCTGGAGATCTATTTTTAGGGGAGATATAGTCAACAGTAAGTATGAGTAATCACCTGGGGTCTAGGGCACCCATGAGCTCCAGGGTCTTTTTCATTTTATTCTAAACTGATGGGGAAAGAAAACCTTGAGACAAGTGGTAATTCTTAAAAGTTTCTTTCATCCTTGGTAAACACAGGTGATAGACGAACTTTTTTTTTTTTTTTGTATATTCAAGTCAAAGTGAAATAAACGCAAACTAGTTTGGATCTTGTTAATGTTTGATGCATTAATATATGTAATCTAGACTAAAGTTTATTTTGAATGCTCTATGGGAAAAATACTCTAAAAAGTAGACAATTAGATAGCTAAATTTCTTCAAGCTGTTTTTAAAAATTTTAACTGCTCAAACAATGGCAAGTATGTATACTTGTATGAACTTCTAAGTTAAGAATTCTGCATTTCAGGCCTTCAACACTTGGTCAGACATCTATTATATGGTCAGTAATATCTTATCCTTGTGAAGATGCAGTCTAATTAATTATTGACTCTGCTTATTAAATCTGATTTTGCCTTGTCTCCAACCAGTAAGTTGTGTCTGTTCTCTAACAGGTTCTTCTCTAAGCGTCTATATCAAATAATTAAGAGTTAATGGTCAGTTGAAATAATCACCAAGTTGTGGTCTATAAAATCCCCAGAAAGGAAAGCAAATTCAAAGGTCGCTGTATTTCAATTAGTCCAAGTCACTTCCATGAGAGAATAAAAAATAAAGGCTACTATAGAAGCAGGAAGACCTTCTAAACCAATGGCCTTTAGAGAAAGAAAAGTCAATTACTGCTCTCCTACTGTTTTAAGTAACTTAAGGTGACTCTTACCTCAGCATTTAAAATATTAGACATCAGTGCTAATACAGTAGTTGGTTGGATCATGAAGTTCTGTTGGGGTCAAGAGTCATTTTATGACAATTATTATCAAAAGACTCATTAAAAAAGTTAACAGGAAAGAAAAAAGAAACAAAAGAAAAACATGAAAAATGGCCTCCTTTTTTACATTTCCACATAGGTGATCTCCATACCAGGAGATGAACTTGAACTTGGTTGGGCGGGAGACGGACCTGGTTGGGCGGGAGACTGGAGCCCCTCAGAGAATTTGGGATTCTTCCATTTTTACTGGGAGGGTTGGCAGGTATAACATGTGTTGTTATGTGAGTCCACGAGAGCCCCTGGGGCTCTCCCTCCCTGCCCTCCGTGTGCTGGGGAGTCAGTTGCTCACTCTGAAGCACTCGACTGGTTTCTGTCTGTGGCTTACCCATGAGCAGTGGCTTGGAAGTGTCAAAGCATGAGAAGCATGCAGTCCACAGCATGTGCTGCCATCACTCTCTACATGGTTCTGCATGGAAGCCCCGGGGCTGCCTGCCTCTGGGCTCAGGCAGCTCTTTCTTTCCCTACAGAACTCCCTGAAGGCTTCCAATCGGAAGAAGAAGAGAACAAGCTTTAAAAGGAAAGCCAGTAAAAGAGGAACTGAAGTAAGTGTTGGAGAGTTAGGTTTCAAGGAAATGCAGCTTCCTTTCCACAGTCTGCTCTGTGCAGAAGGCCTGGCCCAAGCTTGGTTTCTGACACAGCTCCCACCTCCCTTTCTCCTTCTTTATATTCTAATCTCCCCAGAATGTTTTCTGTTCCAAATAAATAAATAGGAACACACACACACACACACACACACACAGGCACACACACACACAGGCACAGGCACACACAGGCACAGGCACACACACACAGACATCTCAACTGTCACTTCAGAGTCAGAGCATTTGCATGGAAACCTCATCCCAAAGATGATGATGATAATGATGAAGAAGAAGAAGATGATGATAAGAGTCGACATTTCTAGAATTCCTAGAGTACACAGAGTAAACTCAAAAGCAAGGCTTAATTATCTGAAGCAAATTATAGTTTAAGAGACTTCCAACTTATGTATAGAGGGTCCGGTGAAGAGTCATCCTTGCAAAAGAAGATAAAGGATTTTTTGGTGGGTGGAGGGGTAGGTGGGAGTCCCCACCACGTTGGGCTTCCACTTTCTTTGCTTTGTGGTTGCTTTCAAGGCGTAGATTTCTGTACTAACTGTGTTGCTTGCTTCTTCCAGCAGGAAAACAAAGGTCGTCCTTTTGTGATAAAACCTATCTCTTCTCCTCTCATGAAACCCTTGCTTGTGTTTGTGAACCCCAAGAGTGGAGGAAACCAGGTGAGTCATTTGTCATGAGTTTGACTTAGAGCTTGAGATGATTTCTTGAAAACATAACTCCCAGTATTAATTAAAATAGCACCACCAGGACCCCAAGCATTGGCAGACAGCTAGTTTCACAGGACAAGGTTATTGTTGGCTTCATTGGGCTAGACAAAGCCTGGAGGTTCTGTGATTTATCCCTCTACTTCCAACTGGACCGAGGCAGAGGTCCTCCAAACTACTGACATTTTCTTTTTATATTTTCAGGAAAGATCCTTCCCAAATTTCTCTTGGTTACTGTTTCAGGGATTCACAGTTCCCAAGGGATTCCTTGGGAATCCCTGTATCAAGCCGTCTTTAGTTCTTCCCATTGTAATTTAGACCCAACTACTTTTGCCCTTCTCCTCAAGATAAGGGAGATGGATGACTCATGGGTCAGAGCAATTATTAACAGACACCACCAAAGCTGTAGAATATATCAGCTTCCAAGGATTTCATCCTGTCCTTGCCCAAACCCTTTTAGTAGGTAATGATTACCTTGAAAATATAGAAACAGCTTTACAAATATTTAGGGACACACCTAAAGTGACAATGCTCTTTAAAGGATAGAATTTGTTCTAAAATCTGGGTCTTTGTTCATCCGATTCTCTTCCCACTCTCTGGGGCTTCTTGTCACTACGCCTCTATAGACTTTGATTTCTGGTGTTTTCATGTGAACAGTTTACATTTGGAGACAAGATTCTTTGAGGTTTCACAGTGAACAACTGGAGGTTGGACGCTCTTTTGCCTCTTCACGTAAGGAAGGGAGTCCTATAGTTAGGATTGACCCCGTAATCCAAAGGACGTCATTGCTACTAAAGACACATTAACTATGTTAAGGCTTCTCTTAGGAGAGTTTATGACTTAAAGGTAACATCCCTCTTTCTCTTTTCTTCTTTTCTTAAGATTCTTGATAACTTGCTATGCTAAGAATATGTTTTGGCACCGTAGAGATCAGGGGAAAGAAATGTACTATAAACAAGGAAGCATTCATTTTCAGCATCCTTTGATTTTTGAGTTGCTGAGTGATGATCTTAATATTAAAATGATGGTGAATTCAAATGTCATTAGAGGAGGAACTAAGAGTGGGTTTCTTACCCTTTGAGGTTCAGTTTGCCCTGAACCATGACTGCTCTTGAGCTCACCTCTCTGTAGCCTACCAAGGGTTGGGATATGGTTGAGGACCGTGGAATACAGCAAAGTGGATGTAGTTGGCTTTATGATTTTGGCCACCTGAGTGCCACATGCTAATTAGTATCAAATTATTTTATCATAACAGTTCACATAAAATCCATTTTATCATGAAAGGTCACATAAAAACTCATTTACTAAATCATTATAATCAAACTTTTCTCCTAGGCCCATAGAAGCTTGTGAGTTGTGCCTGTCTTCACAGATCTGACAAGTTAAGAAAGAGCTTGTTCCTATTCTAGTCTTTGTGTAAATTTTGATGACAGGGTCTTCAGAGACTAGTGTCATTCCCTGTTTCATTAAACAGAAAACAAAACAAAACAAAAATTGAAAGAAAGAAGATAGGGTTAAGTGATTTTTTTTTAAGGATTTGTGTTTTTTAATGACACAAAATAGAAAAACAAAATGATTCAAATAACTTTCACTGTTTATTCTGAATTGAATGGCTCTGACTGAAAGTGCTGTGAAATTTTGAAGGCAAGATATGACTTCAGGGTGATAGGAAATCTTTTATTTCTAGCACACAGTACGTGGCAGACTAATAATTGTATAATAAACAATATGAATAGAAGATCAGATGTCATGATGGAAATTATTCACTTCAAGGACAATGTGGTGAGTGGAGTGTGCATATTAAGTTATTGGAAATGGGATTAGATAAAGATTAGAATGAACCTATGGAAAACTTGGATGAGGATTTTGGATTTGTGCAAAGGCAACCAGGTTTTGGCTGTTTTTAAAGAATTTTTAGGTTTGTGAAATCTTTTGGCTTTTGAACAGAGCAGCATGATTACATTTAATATGCAGTTTGCTTGGAGATCCTGCTACAGTTTCAGATGCTGCCTCAGTAAGTCAGGGATGGCTCTGAATCTCCTGGGTAGACTCTCATTTCTAACCAGCTGCCAGGTGCTGCTAACCCCTGCTGCCCAGAAAGCCACTCTGATTGGAAAGAGCTTATTGTGTTACCAGTAATAGAGGAAAAAATCAGTTGGATCCTATTTTTTGCCTTCTAATAATTTACTTATCCCATTATCTGGTTTTTGGATATAAACTATTTAGATTTTATCTCCTCTCTGAAACTTCATCTGTTAAGTAACTACTAGATGATAGCGCCATCTACTGGCAAGAAAAATACCTGTAGCTTTTTTCTTATACTCTATTGTATGTATGTCAGGAAAATTTTCAACATGGCATAAACAAACACAGGAGTTACTTCTATGTCCTTCTTTGAGAAAATGCATTAGTTTATATATTTTTTTAATTTAAAGATTTACAAGAATTGTCTGTTTTTCCAACATTTCCAAAGTGGAGACTATATTGTTTTGCAAAGGCTTGGACATTGGTAGTGCTGTAATTATTGTTGAGATCTGAATTATCTGAGGAAACAGGCACTTAGATCAGAGATGGAAATATTTTCTTTGAACAACTTCCCCTGCAGGAAGGAGGTAGTAGATGGAAGACAGAGCTTACCTCAATATGGACCCCTCTTCTGTATGGGAACTTTGTACTTATACTTTATACTTCTACTTCTACTTTAATTTCAAAAACTATGATTTCTCTTTGATGGCCTAGAGTCACTAACATCTTTCTAATTTGAGTCTTGAAGAGTTTTTGATCCCTCTCAATGTGCCCTGTGTTGGCTTACTTTTTCTTTCTGTCTTTTTCCCCTACCCCTATGTTTTTTTTTTTTTTTTACTTCATTCCAGATGATTTGCATCATAAATTTAGGGTTAAGCAGATGTTCTGACATTAGAATGATTTCTGCTACCGAGTTTTGAGAGTCGAGGTTGTGAGACTCTGGCTCTTTACCCTGACCTATGTGCAGTTCCAGGGCAGAGGGATGGTAGACCTTGCATCCCTGGGTCAGGGCTCCAGGTCCTGACAGGCAGGAGCATTTGAGGAAGGGATGTTCAGCCGGTGGACAGGCTGTTGCTGCTGAGCCCATACCACCATCTGCCAACAGGGTCCCTTAGACGAGTCCTCCTTCCCAAGTCAGGGGCCAGTCGCACTAAGGTGGGGAGAAGAGGCAGATGAAGAGGAAATACTTCAGAGGAGGAATTTCAGTGTTCAATCTGTTTCTAAATAATTGGACAAACAATTTCAATGAGGAAGTTGGTTTTTGTAGTGATAGAGATGTTTCAACCTGGAGATAAATAAAAATGTAGGCTCCCAAGGGTTAGCATTGCCTGGGAAGAGGACAGAGGAGCAGGGAATAGATGAGGGCATGCGTTAAAATACAGCCTCGAGATCTTCTTGGTAAACCAGCATCAACAGATGGGATCAAAACAATCAAACCACAAATATGTATAAAGCCCCTCTTCTAAACTGTAATATTGGTGGGAACCTGGGGGTGGTAGGACGCTAACCAAGCCATGGGGCTCCTTTGCCAGGCCCAGAACCTGCGTGTCTTAGCCAGACTGGTGCTGCATTAAAATGTTGGTCTATTTCTGATTAAAGCGTTTCAGTGACTCTTCGTTTTCCACAAAGTGAAGCTCACACTTTTTAGCTCACACTGTCTAGGCAGTTGTCTTTTGCATGATCTAGATAATGTCCATATGAGATGAACCAAGACTTGATCATTTGGCAGAATTGTTGGAAGTGCTTTGATGAATCTGTGTGCTGTTTGAGCTGACCTGTATTTAATTGCTTCTCGGTAGCCCCAGGTCATTATTGCCACATTTTCCTCTATGAACAATGCATAGAACTTCCTTTTGAGAGCAAGATGGTCTCTGGTTCATTCGCCCACCTAAAACTGCTGGGCACAAAGCAGGGGAATGAATGAACCTTGTTCATTTCCTTCTATAACAATCCACTTATTTGAGGGGAAGATGCATTTTCCTGAGAGCTGGAAAGGGTAATTTTTTTTTAACCCCTCAGGAATACCCAGTCACATAGTACCTCAAAAAGTTCTGTGGTCAGTGGGGTATTATATCTGTGATGTGTATTGGAATTCATGTGTAAATTATTTTTTTTTTTCATTTAGAGAAAACCAAACTCTTGCAGAAAAGTAGCAACTCTATTGTTTGTCACAGAGCCTGTGGTAACTACAGGAATGCTTGGGACATGCTAGTGACTGACAGTTGTATAAATGACTGAGTAGATTTAATCCTGCATTGAGAAAGAAACAAATTACTCTTTCCCCAGTGAATTAGTATTTGTCAGGCCATTCAGTTCTATTTAATAAATTACCTCTATTAAAGCCCTAAAGTAGCTTATCCTAGAGGTGGCAGCAGAGTTAATGGAACTCACTTAAATGTGTGAATTAGACCTTTTCTCCCCACCTGCTAGGATTGATTTTTTTTCAATTGCTTTTATTCAAACATTTATTTTTCCTAATGAATATCATGTCTTGGAAAGAAGATTACTTTTTTTAAAAAAATATTTTTTTCTTTTTATTTATACATGATAATATAATCTATTTTTGGTATATTTATACAAGCTTGGTATATATATATAATTCTAATTAGGATCCCAGTCTCTTGGATGTACACAATGGTGAGATTCACTGTGGTGTATTCATATATGCACATAGGAAAGTTATGTCACATTTCACTGTCTTTCCTTTTTTCTATCCTCCCTTTCTTCTCTTCATTCCCCTTTGTCTAATCCCCTGAACTTCTATTCTTAAAAAAGTAATTATATCATGCTGAATGTCAGCTCTGATAGTGTAGCCATGCATGGTCATTCCCGCTCAATTCCCAGGAAGCAGCATCATCCCAATAGATGGCTTCACAAATGGCACCTCCCCAGGACGTGCAGTGAGCAACTCACCAGCCTTCATTAGTACCCTTCCCTGGAAAGAATAATGTGAGATAATTAGGTTCCCACTAACACAAATTGAAAATTAGCAAAACCAAAACAGTGCTTGCTGTTCACATCTTTTAGAGAAATTTTAGGTTAAGGAAAAATAATCTCTCAATGTTTTTATTTTTACGTTTCTGAAAGGTGTTAACAACCTTGTATCATATGCATAGTAGGCGAAGCTGAGATTGAGATGTGCACTCTAGCACAGCAAAGGTAGGAAGGAGTAATTAACACCAACAATTCACACTGCTCATGGAATCCAAAACTGAAAAATTAATTTTCTAGCAAGTTGGTTGGAAATGTTCTATAAATTGGTTGGTCATTAAAATGACTCTTATGTTACTTATTAAACATAAAAGATCATTGAAATAATCCCAAACACACTTGGGAGCAAGGCCCAGCATGGGGAGAAAGAAAATGATCCAATTTTGTTAGCATTATGTCTCTAAATCTGTTTGTATTTGACAGGGAGCAAAATATGTCCTGTGGTGAAACTGGAGGACTGCTGGTAATAATTATGAGTAGAATGTTATTCCTAAAATTATAGCAGGCACATGATAAAGCAGAACTTTTAAATTGCAGGTTTGGCTGATACTTGGAACAAAAGACCTGCATTGGCCTCTGTAGCAACTGGCATAACAATGTGATAATTACAAACTACGCTTTAACCCTCACACCATCAAGTGCAATTTAATGAATAGATTAACAAAGAGCAAAAAAGAAAGGCACTCGCATTTATCAAGGTCTATTTTGTGCCACATACCATGCTAGATACATAACTACTCCCGTTTCACTTAATTCACATAATCACCCCAGAAGGTAGACGTCCCTTCTGGTTTATACACTGCATTTCTGCAAGATTGATTGTAAGTGTTCATGATCACGCAGTTAGAACATCCAAGTTAGTTCTGACTCAAATGTCATGCTTTTTCTACCACAGGAGGATGACTCTTAAATACAGTAGATATGATACAAATTCAGGAATATTTTAGGAAAGAGCAAGCATGATATTCACTAACAGAACAGAATTACAACCGACCAACTCTGCTTAACTGATCAAATATTATTTGCTCTGAGGTTCATAAAGTGAGTCATCCCACTTAATTGTAAAGCTCTTTTGGTATTGAGTAATGAAAAGATTATTTATTTCTTTTTGCACAGTTCCCTGTAAGAGATTATTTCCTAACTGCCTTTTGCCTTTCTTCCTGATCATCTTGTTTTTAAATATATATTTTTTTAAGTTGTAGTCAGACACAATACCTTTATTTTATTTTTATGTGGTGCTGAGGATCGAACCCTGCGCCTCGCACATGCTAGGTGAAAGCTCTACCACTGAACCACAACCCAACCCCCTGATCATCTTGATACATGTCATAGTTATTTAACACACTCCAAAAACTTTCATGTGACAGAAAAAGGTTTGGTTTAAATTGACATAGACATGGAGATTGGAAAAGTCTCAAAGTAAACTATAGTCTTACTAACTTGGTACAGTTTTATGTAAGACTTGTATATATATATGACTTGTATATATTCCCAGTAACTGTTAGAAAAAAAATGAAATTATGCTTTGCCAATACTACCCAATTTTTATATTATGCAGACAATAATAATCTGTGCAAAAAGTAAAAATTAAGGTTACATTGCAGATGCTGATTGTTAGCTTTCCTGTATGCATTTTCATACATTAGGCAATGTTAATAAAGTTATGAATACCATTCATTAAGTGCCTATCACACACCAGGCACTATGATGTGCTCCTGGACCATTGCATTTAACACTGGCAACCAGTTTGTGAACTAGGCATCTTATCTCTATGTGAAAGAGAAGGGAGACTGAAGTTAATGAAATTAAGAAACTTGTCCAGAATTGCACATTAGACTAGCACCTCACTTCGCTGTTCAACCTTTGTTTATCTGTAAACAAAGCTCATTATTTTAACAACTTTTCTACAATTTTTATAAGTAAATATTATTTTAGAAAATTTCTGCATTTTAATTTTTTAATATTGGGAAATTTTTATTATTTTCATTTTTTTTCTCTCTATCTCTACAGGGAACCAAAGTCCTACAGATGTTCATGTGGTATCTGAATCCACGGCAAGTTTTTGACCTTTCGCAGGAAGGGCCAAAAGATGCGTAAGTCTGGAATATCCTCCAGGATCCAAATGTATTGTAGGCAAGATAGACCTTTCTGATTTGAGGGTCAAGCTCCATTACCTGATTACTTTGTGAAACATTTTTTGATCATCTCTACTCTCTCACCTGTACTTTCTTACCTTTAAAATGTTATCTGGTGGCCTCTTTTATTCTTTCTTGTGTGTGTTACTTTCTTTCAAAACATAAAATGGATGGAGTTGGAGAATATCATGCAAAGCAAAATAAGCCAATCTCAAAAAACCAGAGGACGAATGTTTTCTCTGATAAGTGGATACTAATTCATATAGGGAGGGTATGGGCTGAGTGGAGGAACTTTGGATGGGCAAAAGGGGAGATGAGGAAGGGGGGAAAGGAGTAGGAAAGACTGTGGAATGGGATGAACAGTATTACCCTAAGTACATGTATGGTTGCCCAAATGGTGTGACTCTACTTCATGCACAACCAGAGAAGTTAAAAATTCTGCTCCATTTGTGTCAATGAATTGAAGAGCTTTCTACTGTCAGGTATAACTGATTAGAACTAATAAATAAATAAATAAACATATTTCTCAATTGCTGACTCATCGAGCACTTCCAATGTATTTGCTGCTCATGTGTGTTGTGTGCTACTGTAGATTATTCACAGCAAGTTGTGAACTGAGAAAGGACCCCTTATTTTTCTGTTTATGCATGTACAACTTTGGAGATGCACACTACTGGCAATGTGGGTTGACCTCTGGGGAGCAGAGCCATATTTATTTGTGAATATTTGATTTAGAGGGCTTGCGAGTGTGGATATGTGTGTGTTTGAGAGATTGATTGATTGATGATTTTAACTGTGGGCTCTACGCCAACATGGGAAAAACATTTAAATTCCTACTCAATCCATTTTTTGAGTTTCTCAAAAATCTCATTCTCTGTTTTTGCTAGAATGTTGAAAATTAGGTCTACATGAAGGTGATTGAATGTCCATGGTGGAAAAGAGCAGGATCACTTTTGCTATTTTGTACTTCCTGTTTTAAAGGCACCTACTAAGGGAGTTCTGATCTTATCTGATTAAACATTAAAACATAAAGGATACAAGTTTTTTAAATAAGTAGCAATATCAGAAGCAAAGAGATGTCAACTCAGATGATTTCTACAGAAATACTATTCCTGCATGAACGGATAGATTATATATTTTAAACATGCAGGAGAACATGAATTATGAAACTTAAATTTGTCATTCCCCAAATCTTTGCCTTTCTTTGCCACTAGAGTTTGCTCTAAGCCTTTTGTATTTTTTCCTGTATTTGATGGTGCTAAGACAAATTTGCTACGCTGGCTTGTGTCTTTTTATCTGTTGACATTTAATAAAATTTTATCACTTTAGTGAGACCTCAGGTAGATACTTTATAGGTCACCATAGAAAGGAAGAAAGGACAGGAAATTTTTTCAGAAAAAGAGAACATCCTTTTACTTCAACAGGTGATGTTTTCTAGAGCAGACCCAGTAACAGCTTCACTTAAGTAGCTGATGATCACCACGGGCAGTATCTCTACATCTTCTTGAGAGCCATCTGGTAGGAGAACACAATCTGTCCTCAGCAGGCAAAGTCATCAGTACAGGAAAACCAATAAATCTTCCCCTCTTGGGCTGTGAGTGTAAGTAGGGCTGTGAGTGAGTCCATTGAGTGACAGACTTGCAGGTATGGTTATAACAATAGTGGAGAAAATCTCCATTTTTCTAAAAAAAATGTTCTAGAATTAAGAGTGGGAATACAGATTTAAAACTAAGTAATTCCAGGAAAAGCTAATATAATAAGCTAATATAGTAAGAAGAAGACATATAAGGGGTATTGTTTATCAATTAATGATGGTTTTCTTTAAGAAAGGAGAAGAGTGAATGATAGGAAAAGAAAAAGAGAAAAAGTCAAGAACTAAAGAGAAAAAAATAAATACGAGTTGATATAATAAAGGGAAGCATGAGAAATAAGAACCTAGGGACACCCCCAAATCCCATTCAGTATTGGCCATTTAAAATTCTGTTGGCTTCAACCTGTGGTCCAGTTGCTGGACGAGTTCTCCTGTGGTTGCTAGGACCTGTTTTGAGGGTATCGTCATCCTCAGGATGGCACATTTTTCCCAGGGGATGCCACCTCCCTGATCATGACCTGTGTTTTCTCTTTGCTACCCACAGTACTTGTTCTTTTGTTTACTTTTTCTTCTGTTTACTCTTCAGGCTTGAGCTCTACAGGAAGGTACCTAATCTGAGAATTCTGGCCTGCGGTGGGGATGGAACGGTAGGTCCTTGAAAGAGAATCTGGTTCTCTCCCTTCTTTCCTCTTGTTTTCCACGTGACTGTTTTCTGTCTTCATTTCTGGTCTTCCCAACCCCATAAAGTGAACGTGTCTCTCCTGTGAATTGTAGCCCCAAGGCTTAGAAGAGACTTTGCTATTGTCCTCATGGCTGCCTACTCGACCTTTCTAAAGTCTCTTCACTCATCACATACACTATACCTGTCTCTCTAGGTGAGGATACAGGCATATCAGTGAAATGAAGAATGGAGACAGTTAAATTCATTTAAAAATACAAATATTTATTCACACTTATTGTAGTTAATAGTTATTTTTTTAAAACTAACATCAAAATTCAAAATTGTACATATTAGTCAGGTGGTGTTTAGATACATGTATTCATTGTATAATGTTTAAATCAGGTTATACATACATATCCCTTCAAACAGTTATCATTCTTTTTATGGTGAAAATATTAAGTCCCTTCTAAAGTTTTGAAACATACATTACCTCATGGCTATCTACGTTCACTCTGCTGTGCAGTAGCATGCCAGAATGTCTTGCTCCTAACTGTGACTTAGTTCCCAGTGATCCCTCTTTCTCCATCCATTCCTTCCCATCCCTTCCTTCCCCTCTTACTACCAGAGTTCTACTCTCACATTATGAGATAACCTGGTTTTGATTCCACATACAAGTGAGATAATGTGGTCCTCATCTTTCCATGCCTGATATCTTTCACATAATATAATAATCTCCAGCTCTAGAAAACATCACCTACTTAAGTGCTGCAAATGACTTTCATTAGTATGTCTTCTGGAGAGTGTTACATGGTATACACTTACAGTATTTTCTTCATCCATTCATCAGTTGATGGACTTAGCTTGTTTCCGTCCCTTTGCTATTTTGAATAGTTTTGCAGTAAATTTTCCTACTGAGGTCCATACTGATTATATTCCTCACAAGTAGAATTGCTGAGTCACAGGGTAGTTTTAATTTGTTGGGGAGCTTCCATGTTGTTTTCCACAGCGTTTGTTTTATTCAGCTTTTCTGTCGTTGAGACCAAAAGACCTGTACGAACAATTTTAGAGCAGGAAAAGTTTATTGGGTGCCCATGGTTTCAGAGGTCTCAGTTCATAGTCAGCTAACTCCATTCCTCTGGGTCCAAGGTGAGGAAGATCATCATGGTGGAAGGGTGGGTGTGGTGGGGGAAAGCAATTTAGGATATGGCACCAAGAGACAGAGAGAGAGCTCCACTCACCAGAGATACAATGTGAATTCCAAATGTACATCCCCAGTGTCCTATCATCTCCAACCATACCTTGTCTTCCTACAGTTACCATCCGGTTAATCCATACTAGTGGATTAATCTGTGGATTAAATTACAACTCTACTAATCTAATGATATCACCTCTTGGATCTTCTGTTTTGTCACACATGAGCTTTTGGGGAACACCTCGTATCTAAATCATAACAGTGGCTATTCCTGTTGACCACAGTGTCCTAGGGTTTTATCCACATCCTTGCTAACATTTGTTATCTTTTTTTTATAATGGCCATTTTTACTGGGGTGAAATGCCATTTTATTGTAGCTTTGGTTTACATTTCCCTGGTAATTAATGATGTTGAAAATTTTTTCATGATCATTAGTGTGTCTTCTTTTTAGAAATGTTTAATTAGGTTTAATACCTGTTTTTTAATTGAGGTATTTCTCTTCTTTCTGTTGAGTGTTCTTATTTCTTACATGTTCTGGATATGAACCCCTCATGTCAGATGTATGGTTGGCGCACACACTTTCTTCCATTCTATCATCTGTCTCTTTACTGTGCTGTTTCTTTTGCTGTGCAGAAGCTTTTAAGTTCAATGGAATCCCCATTTTCACTTTTTCTTTTAATGCTTTTGGGATCCTGTTCAAAAAATAAGCTTGCCCATTCCAACATCCTGAAGTGTTTTCTTTACACTTGTAGTAGTTTCCTATTTCCAGGTCTTACATTTTGGTCTTTAATCCATTTTTACTTTATATTTGAAATGGGTAAGAAGTGGGGGTCTAGTTGGATTCTCTCAGCACCCTTTAAAGAAAAGATCATACTTTCACTAAAGTGTATTCTTAGAACACTTTGGGTTTTCTTTTAACGTTATTTGGTCATAGAGGTGTGCATTTACTTCTAGGTTCTCTATTCATCCCTTTGGTCTGCCTGATTTTATGCCAGTGCCAACCTGTTTTGATTACTAAAGCCTTATAGAGTGATGCTTCCTGTTTCATTCTTTTTGTTCATGATGTCTTTGACTATCTGTGTTTTTTTTTTAAGGTTTCCTACAAATTTTAGGATTTTATATCTAGTTCTGTGAAAAATGTCAATGATTTTGGTAAGGGTTCCATTACATCTGTAGATTGCTTTGGGTAGTAGTGTGGACATGGTAACAATATTGATTCTTCTAATCCATGAACTGATGGTGCATTTCTACTTTTTAATGTTCTCTCCAGTTCTTTTCATCATTGTTTTATGCTTTCATTGTAGATGTCTGTCACCTGAGTGGTTAAATGTATTCTTAGGTATTTTATTTTTTGTATCTATTATGAATTGTATTGCCTTCTTGATTTCTGTTTCAGATAATTCACTAGTAGTGATTTTTATGTGTTGATTTTAAATTCTTCTACTTTGCCATCTTTGTTTATTAATTCTAATAATTTTTTATGGAGTCTTTGGGTTATATCATGTCATCTACATACAGTGATAGTTCAGCTTCCTCTTTTACCATTTATATACCCGCCACTTCTTTCTTTTGCCTAATTTCTCTGAATAGGACTCGCAGACTATGTTTAGTAAAAGTGGTGAAAATGGGCATCCTTGTCTTTTTCTCAGATTTTTTTAAAAAGAGACTTTTAGCTTTTCTTCAGTCATTATAATGTTAATTGTTGGTTTATTATAAACTGCCTTTATGATGTTTAGATACATTCCTTCTATACATAAGTTGTTCTGCATTTTTAGCATGAAGAAATGTTGAATTTTATTAAATTTCTCTTCTGCCTGTTTTGGGATGATCTTAACTTTTTGTCTTTCATTCTGTGGAAATGATTTACCACACTTTTGAATTTGCATAAATTGAACCATCCATGCATCCCTGGGGTAGATCTCAGTTGGTGGTATAGAAGAATATTCTTTTTAATGTGCTGTTGAATTCAGTTTACTCATATTTTGGGGATTTTTCCATTTATGTTCATCAAAGAGATTGGCGTGTAGTTTTCTTCATTCTTGGCGTGTAGTTTTCTTCATTCGTTATTTCTTGTCTGGTTTTGGTATTGGAATAATGCTGGCCTCATACAATATGTTTGGAAGAATTCCTTCCTCTTTGACTTTTTGGAATAATTTAAGAGAAATTGGTATTTGTTCTTTAAATGTTTGGTATAGCTCAGTAGTGAAGCCCTCTGATCCTGGGCTTTTCTTTGGTGAGAAATTTTTTCTTACTGATTCAATATAATTACTTGTTCAAGTCTGTTCAGGTTTTAAATTTCTTTATTATTCACTCTTGATAGGGTATATGTTTCCAGGAATGTCTTCATTTTTCCAGGTTATCAAATTTATTCATGCAAATTTGTTCATAAAACTTTAATGATCCTGTTTGTTTCTTGGTGTAAATTGTTGAGTCTCATTTTGATGTGTCTTTTCTCTCTCTCTCTTTTTTTTTTTTGCTACAGCTAAAAGTTTGTCAATTTTGTGTAGCTTATCTAAGAACCAGATCTTTGTACATTGATTTTTTATATTTTATTTTTTATAATCTTTATTTATTTCTGCTCTGATCTTTATTATTGACTTCTACTAATTCCAGAATTTTTCAATAGATTGAATACAGCAATAGAATAAATACAGCAATAGATTGTTTGTTTTAGATCTTCCTGCTTCTTTGATGGAAATATTTGTTGCTATAAGATTTTGCTATATCCCATAGATTTTGTTTTGTTGTATATCCATTTTCATTTGTCTTCAGTTTTCTTCTTGATTTATTCCTTGAACCATTGGTTCACGATTAAGTTGTCTCATTTCCTATTTGTATGATTTGCATTTTTTTCTTTTAATCAATTTTTAGTTGTATTGCACTGTTGCATAAAGGATACTTAATATAACATCATTCTTTTTTTAAATTTGTTAAGACTTGTGACCTATATTGTGTGATCTATCATGGAGAATGCTCCACATGCTATAAGAAGGCTAGGTTTTCTGGAGGTATGATTGGAATTTTCTGTAGATGTCTGCTAGGTCCATGTGGACTAGGGTGCAATTTAACTCTGCCATTTCTTTATTGATTTTCTGTCCAGATGATCTGTCTATTCATGAAATGGTAATTAATTAATCTCCCCTACTGTTACTGTGTTAGAGTCTCTTTCTCACTTTAGGTCTAATAACAGTTGCATAATATATTTGGATTCTCCAATATTGGGTGTATGTGTTTAGAATTTTTTTTGTTGCTAAATCAACCCCTTATACAATGACCTTCTTTGTCTTTTTAGTGCTTTTGATTTAAAATCTATTTTATCTGATATAAGTATGGCTACTCCTTCTCGCTTTTGGATTCCATTTGCCTGAAATATCTTATTCTATCCCTTTACTTTTAGTCCATGAATGTCCTAAGAGGTGAAGTAAGTTTCTTATAAGCAACATATAATTTTTTAAAATTTATCCATTTACTGTGACTTTATTTAGAAATTTTAATCCTTTTACACTTAAAATAATTATCAGTAGGTAAAGGTTTATTATTATTATTATTTATTATTATTATTTTGGTGGTGCTGGGGGTTGAACCCAGAGCCTCTGATATGCTAGGCAAGAATTCTACAACTGAACTATACTCCCACCCTAAAGAAAGTTCTTAATATAGTTGTTTTATAACTTATTTCCTAATTTTATTATAATTCATTTTTTCTCACTCTCTTACAATCTCCTTTTGTGGTTAAATGATTTACTTTAGTAGTTAATTTTAATTGCTCACATATTATTTTTTGTCTATCACAA